TTTTTTGATTTTATAAACTAAACGTTCAACAAAAAACTTTAGTGAGAAAAATCGAAAAAACGAACTACAAACATATTAACGCCAAACATTCGGTAGAATTTATAGAATATTGTAAATATATATATATATATATATATATATATATATATATATATATATATATATATATATATATATATACGTATAGGTAAAAGAACCCACAACTCGATCACAACACACCCTTTAACAGTTGTTTAAAGCAGCCTTCAACAATAATGTTCATGTAATTACCCCATTAAATTCATATCCAGGCAATAATGCACACATTTCATTAGCTTCTTATAACATTGTAATGATCAATGGAGCTTTATAAAATAGTCGTATATTGTTCGGGTGCTTAAGAAATTTTTAACACATTTTGCAGTTAATATCGAAAAATTGTTTGAATAAAATTTTAAAATGTTTATACATAAGTTATAAAAATTATATGAAACATAAAACAAAGCAACATAAACATCATTACAAATATCATGTACCTTTAGTAATTCACACGAAAGTACTATTTTACATTAATAAATCAATGAGAACAGAGAATTAAGCAATAATGAAGAACAAGAAGCTTGAATATCAATAACGATGCCAAGTTTTCCATTCTGTTGTTCCGCTTTAGAAAACTGTGACGCTTTTGTTCATAAATACATTTATGCGTAGCATATTTTCCGATTGTAATAAAGAAAGGACCCTGATGAAATTGAAATGAGATACATATCGTTCACGTGTTCGCGTCCAAACAATATATTTTTGTTAAACAAAAAAAAATTAAAATTTGAATTTTCTATCAATATATCGATCGTCTTAACAAATAAAATAATTATTCATTATCTTAAACTAAAAGTAGATTTTCGTCAACTTGAAAATCTAAAAATTCAATTAGTTACATTTTTAAATATGCTGAAGTCTAAAAATTATTCAAAAACCTTTTCTCCAAATCTAGTAAAAAGAGCATAATAAAACCACTACCCAACCCACTGACGCACGCCGTCCTTTTATTTATTGGGAGACATTGAAGAAATCTCAGATTGGTAGATTTGTATTGTTGCCTACATAAGTCGATTTGCTTCAACGACATCTACAGCATCGCATTCGTTCTAACAACAACCAAGCAGTCCATTAAAAGCTTATTCCCTAAAAAAGATGCATGTAGTAAAATTGACGGAGGATTGACAAAATCGATTGCTTGCATATTTATCTCTGGCAACCTGTTAAATGAAATAATCAAACCAACCAAAATTTGCATAGATGTAAATAACGTCACCGTCGTCAATTTTGAACTTGAAATTTTAAAAAATCAGTTTTGAGTAAATACGAATTCAACTTACAGACAAAAATTAATATACAAATCGACATATAGGAAAATTATTTACGATTATGCTCGCGCAAAACATCCCAACATAAATTAGGAGTATGCATAGACATGCATAACAATAACGCACTGAAGCTAATTAACAACCAACAAATCAATAAATAATTCGTGAATGAACAACGTGATTGCTGTTTACAATTGCATGTTGAAGTTTTAATGACATGAAATTCTATCCATAATGTCAATAAAAGTATATTTCAAATGAGAACTGAGTAATATAAACTTGCGTCTTCAAACTTTATACAACACACACGCAAGCACGCAAGCACATTATTTCATGTTTTGGTGTGGTGTGTGTTAAATTAAATATTATTTCCAAATTTTTGAGGATATTTCAAATAAAATAAACCTTAAATGTGCAAAATGTCAACTGTTTGTTGGAATGCAATAATTCAAGAACACAAAACACGATATATAAACGTAAATAGGCTAAAAGAGCGTGATTGTCTGCGTGAATGTAAATAAATAAATAAATGATGCGGATGAATTTGTAAGGAATGATAAGTTAATCTCAAAAGTCCATGGTTTTATTGCATGTTTGAATAATGCCCATTAACATGAAACGCTTGTTGTACGTGATAGAACATCATGAGAACGAGAACCTTATCTGACTTTTTCAACGTTGAGCTAGAGCAGTTGATTTGTATTTGTATACTGTCAAATTTATACCCAAAACAAAAAATTAATTTATATGCATAAATAAATTAAAAACGAACTTATGGTTATTCAACTGGTTGATTAAATAAATAAATAATTGATTGATTGACTGACTGACTGATTGATTAGTAATTGTGGTTAGATGTAAAATCAATGCAAATGATGTCAAATAAACAAAAAATATAATAAGACTAATTACAATAACGCTAAAAATTTACAATAGAGATTTATTAAATTAGACAAATAACACATTAACATAAATTATTACAGCAATAAATAAGACAAAACAAAATTTCAATATTCTGCTAAATTCGTGTGTTCCTTGTATATATATATTGGATTAGGACTGTCAAAAATGCAATTATTGATGAAAATCACAGCAATTATGCTTAAATGTTCTTCAATGTTTAAAATAAATAAAAATTTTAGCTTTGAACTCAAGAAACTTGACAATGTTTTAGGTTAAAAAAATGGAAAATAGAAAAATTAGACAGGAAGCTACCTAACGCTGAACATGCCGTAATTTAATTGATGAAGTATTAGTAGTAATTCATCTTCTTTTTTATGCTATATATGTATATATATATAATATATATGCATATATATATAATTGATGAAATCACAGCATGTTATGCGTTAGTTAGCTTCCTATTTAATTTTTAGATGTAAATCCTTGACAAGTTTCTTGAGTTCAAAACGTTGCCCAAGGATATTTGCGCGCTCTCTCTCTCTCTCTCTCTTTCTATATATATATAAACTTAAGCAATATATATATAAACATAAGCATTTGGCCACCTACACGACGTATCAATTCGAAAACCAAAGATGGTATAGGAATACAGAAAAAAACTTTTCTGTTCTATCATGCTTAAAATAAACAAAAATTTTGGTTCTAAACTCATGAAACGTGACAATGATTTACGATCTACCGTAGGAAAAATCGAAAAAATAAATAGGAAGCTAACTAACGCGGAACATGAACGTGCTGTGATTTTTCACTAATAATTCCATTTCTGACAGTCTTAAGCCTATATATAAATATATATATATATATATATATATATATATATATAAGTTTACAAATACCTATATCAGAAAAACAACACAAACCTGCGGTGTGCAAGTGATGAAACGTAAAAAACGTCGAGTGCAATAAAAAATTGAAATAAATTTAAATATAATACAATAAGTTATTTGAAATAAACCAGAAGAAATAAATTAATTTAAAGATGTGCCATGTTAAAGGACTTTGGTCCCTTGGTGATAACAATATCTGCATACGGTTGCTTCTGCAGCACGTTAACAAAACCTTTTTTCTTCAATTCCAGCAGACAATAAAACAAATATGACACTTGACATTTACTTTTCATAGATAAATTGGACATTGCATGGTGGAATATTACTTTACTTTCTTTTTCAATAGCCAACTTTAAATAATCAACAAAATTCTTTTTGTTCAGTTTGTTGCTGGATCTTTTCGCTTCTTCTGAAGTCTGTCACAAATAAATAGTTGATTAATTATCTTTAATAGATAAAATTTTGGATATATAATGTATGATTGGCGTTTAAATCTCTACTTCAGAATATTCTTTAGTTATTGGTCTTTTGTTGAAAGCGTAATTTGTTTAAATTTGTTTTTTTTTGGTTCACTGGATAACATCATAAACGATGATGACTAACAAAATTCAAAACTTCCAACTATATAAATTTTCATAGCTTTATTATTATTATTATGGGCATGCCTGAATTCATAGCTTTGCTGCCTTTGAATTCAGCACTCGACCTACACTTTTAGCTTAGCAACTGCCAGAAATGGTCAGAACATTTGTGATGTCTGCTTTTTTGCTATGTGATGAAGAAAATCTTTTTAAGAAAATGCGTTGTAAAATCCTACTGAAATAGGTGCCACCATTATCTGGCGAAACATCATAAAGGAAACCTGATTTAATAACCACTGTAATCATCAGAATAAGAACAACTTTTCAATTAGTCCTGTTATCTCAAAGGTAAGCTGAATAAATTGCATGTGAAGGCTTCGAATGTCAAAACGTCTTTCAATTAAAAAACATTAATACTAATCATTGAAAAATACACAAACCAAATACAAACAAAACGATGGCGAAGTTAATGTAATAGTTAACCTTGTATAAATCAAGTGAGCTTTGGCTAACAATTTCAACTGGTGAGAATGGATCAAAAACATTGAAATTCAACGACGGTGTCTGTAGATTCAGTGGCACATTCTCTTTACCATTTTTTAAATCAATATCTGGAACTGGTCTTAATTTCTAAAAAGCCCAAGTGAATTTAATAAGGAATTGTAGTATGAAAAATAGAAGAACATTTGAAGCTTCCATAGTATACTTAATTTTTATTATATGATTATATTTTAAAGTGCCTCGCCAAAATTCTTGTAACATGTCGGCTAGGTAGTTTAAACAATACAAACTTCACTTTAAGCGCCGGTATACAATCTGACCAAGTATCAAAACAATAGAAACTGCTAGTAACATAACTCATTACATTATCCACACCATCCGACGCACATACTCATTACATTACATTACGTTTATATGTACACTGTTTATATGCTTATGTTATTACAATTTCAGCAACATCTCAAAATCTAAGCAAAATGATGATGACAAAAAATTAAAAAACGTCGTTGACTAGATTGCTTGAAAGTCATTTAACAATCAACTACACCTTTTCTCCTATGTATCTAAACAGTTTTGCATCATGGAAGCGAGGAGTTCGACTTAGTTGCCAGTTGTTATACGTTACGCACAATTAAGAGCACCTTAAAGTTAATAATAGGAGCTCACCATTACCATTAGCCTTAATACAGACAGACCATTTTGGAGCCCAAAAGTCATTTGTTCTCCAAGAAGCGTTTATGATTTAACTAGCCCAGCCAATTACAAAGTCCAAATTAATTTAAGAAGCTAATTATTAAAACGGCAGTTTGTCAAGGAGACGTCAATCGCTTCGTGACCCTTTTCAACCTTGTAGTTAATGCTTTCCTGCCGAAAGCCTTCTGGATACGGTGCCCAGTTCATCTTCAATCGCGAACTGAACGATATGATGTTTGCTGACGACAGTGCAGTGGCTACCAAAAGCGACGCAAAAGCCACTATTATCCTTCCTGATTTCGTTCGCCCAACTGTGCTGCGCCATATGGCCTCAAGACAAACGAAGCCTAAACGAAAGCGTCTACAACGAATTTTATCACCCGTCAATGTACATCATAACGGAGGATAGCGTGAACTAGTTGGATTTTTTATTCTTTATATTCAGCTCTGCCAAATGCAGAAATGCTTATGTTATTCTAAACTTGTAATTAAACTTTTGTGCCACAAAGGCTGTACACTATCTACACCATACGATATTCACATACACATTATGTATGCACGCACGCGCAAGCACTGCATCATACGCGTATGATGGTCTTTGAGTTTCGGACAGACAGTATGTGAACCATGCCATCGCGTAATAGCAGCACGAGACATGGCACTTCTACCGACTGAGCTAACTCGGTGACCATTAAAATATCTTGGATTTATTGCTCAACAAAAGAAAATGGTAGCTTCAATTCCATTCATTTCAATTCAATTCCAGACTAGAATTGGACAGATGGTATCTTTGAAAAAAATACATTACAACGGTAACAATGATCCGTCTCTTTCGGTTATCCATCAAGTCAAATTTACGCTATGGATTTGAAGCATCGTCAATGTTTAAGACGGATACAAACAAACTTGAGGTATTACAAATGCGATGCCTCAAATAGAATCTTAAAGTCTTACTCCGAAACCATATGTTAAATAAATAAATTCCGGCGACCATTAAACTGACAAAACTGCTGGACGATAAAAAGCTCCATGCCAAAGAAGACATAGAACCCATAAATAAGAGTTGATTTGCAAAACCAGCATCTGAGTAAAATCTAGTCGGAAACTGTGAACATGGAAAAATATAGTGAACAATGTTTGTGAACCATTGGCACCAACAAAAGTGCGGAACTGTCCACAAATGAAAATTCCAATTCTCTCTTCTCTGCCAAAGGTAGTGTAGTAGAACCTTAAATTCTAACAAATTTTATTCCTTTTCACATCAAAAATTTTAAAAATAATATTTAAATGTTACATAATTACAACTTTGTTGAAAAGATAATATAAATAATATCAAACTTTGATTAAATGCATACCTTATCTTTTTTAGACTTTTTTGGCGGAGGTGGCAACAAATCTGACTGATTGAATTCTTTGTTTGTGGTAAATTAAAAAAAGATTGTTTAAAAAGACACGCACGAAAATGAAATTTATCAGTTATTGTTACACTAACAAAATGTAGAAACATAAACTCACAGAGTTTAAGCATATAGAAGTAAATATTTGAAAAAACTTTTAAATAAATGAAATAATAAAAAATGTACAACAGAAAATTTTGAAAATCATTATAACTAAATAAAAAAACAAGACGAATTTAAATAAAACTTTAAAAATCAATTTCGACCAGTACAAATTACTATCAATTAAAAAAACCATTACTAAATAAATAAGTAAAACTTGTACAACATTCGATTAATAAAAGTTTAAGTTCATCACCTCACTTGGTCTAAATCCACAAGCACACTAATATTGCAAACAAAATACACTAACACCACGTAAATGTTGACAATTCAGACAACATGTACATTAAAAATCATAGTCAATGAACTGGTATATAATGATAAAAAAGAAATTAAAAAAGTGTCAGATTAATTTAAATAGGACTGCAAATTGGAAACAGAACAAAATTAAAAATGGATATGGAGTAATTTATTTTTATTTACCCTCAACGATCATTGCTTGTTCCTGGCTGATATTTGCTATCTTCGGTGACTCCTCTGGACTTTCAAAACGGCCGATTTCAATTTCATTTAATTTCTTTGAAAGACCGTCATCATCATCACTATCATCTTTTCCATTCGAACACTTTGAAACCATGTTTGCTCTATAAAACTATTTAAAATATTAATGTAATAAAATAATCAAATTAAACAAATTAAAAAAACTTTTTAAGTTTTTTATATCGAAATGAAAGGAATAAAATAATTTATGAATTTGATCAACCGGACAACACATATTTTGTAAAAACTATTAAAACATATAGAGTAGTTATAATAAAAATTTGAAATTAACAAAATATGGAATGATATTTGGAAAGAATTGCTTCCGAGTGAGTGCTTCAGAGCCCTCTTACACATCTGTCAGGAGATGTGGAGTAAATCGATACTATCAGTCGAATGGAACAGTAGCACAACAGTGCCAATATATAAAGGAAAAGGAGACCCACTGAAAGGCTCCTTATATCGAGGCATAACGTCTACCGGAACACCCCCTAAAAGTTATTGAAAAAGTCATTGAGAGAAGACAGTTGTCGTGCGTTTCAATATGTGGTTACCAGTACGGCTTCATGGCAGGGATATCCACCATTGAAGCTATCTATATCATTCGTCAACTACAGGAAAAATACTTGACAAAGCAAAAGCGACTGTTCCATGTATTTGTGTACTTGGAAAAGGCTTTTGACAGAGTGCCTCGTGAGGCAATCAGGTGGAGTCTATGTAGACTGCTTGTTCCAGAATATCTGGTTCGGTTGGTTATGGCAACGTACTCTAACACAAAAACTCTGGTCAGCACAACAGCCGGTAACACGAATGAATTTGATATTAACGTCGGCTTTTATAAAGGATCAACACTCAGCCCCCTGCTCTTCATCACGGTGATGGAAGAAATAACCAAACCGATACTCTCAGAAAACATATAGATTGTGATATATGCAGATGATATCGTCCTAACGGCGGCCTCGGAACAACACGCAGCCAGAAAGTTTGAGGTCTGGAATACCCAGCTTGCCGAACACGGGCTAAAGGTAAACCTTGACAAAACAAAAACTATGATCACCGGTGGTACCGCTGAGCCTGTGGTCTCTGGTCAATGGCTATGTTCGGTGTGTGGGGCTGGAGTTGGAAGCAACTCGATCAAATGTCTACGATGTCAGCAGTGGTGTCAAAGACGATGCTCGAGAATTACCGGCTCACTTAGGAAAGTGACTTATTTCGTATGCTCCGCCTGCATCAATCCGCGACAACGGAGCCCAGGTAATGATACGATTACCGGGATCGAAACTGTTACTTCATGTCAGTATTTGGGAGATATGCTGGATTGTACTGGAGCAGCTGATGCCGCCGGTCGTGGACGCATACGTGCGGCGTGGGGCAGATGGCACCTTCTTGCCTCGGTACTGATGCGGCGTAGCATTATTCTACCATTACGCTCTAAGCTGTACAACACAGCTATATGATCTGCTCTGATGTATGATGCAGAGACATGGCCGATGACAACAAAACTCGAACAGCAGCTTCACCGAACTGACATGAAGATGATTCGTTGGATGCAGCATGTTGACCTAGGGAACATATTTATACAACCGAGATCCTGAACCGAACGAGACTGTGCACGTTGAAAGATGGTTTGGCTATGTGAAGCGAAAACGATACAATAATTTCCGTTACTGAGTCCCAGGTGCCTGGAACCGCCCAAGAGGTCGCCAAAAGAAGTCCTGAACGCAGACCATACAGGGGACTTGAAGGCATTTGGTCTCAAGGAGACAGACGCAATGCAATAGATCGGCTTGGAGACAGAAGCCAATGAATGGAATAAAAAAGTCCGACCCATAATGGATGGAGACTATAAATGAGGATTGATTGATTATTTGGAAAGAAGACTAGGTAACAACCAGAGTGTCGGAGACGTTCGGAGTCGGTGATTTGCCGGAGTCGATATTTTTTAAAGAGCTAGAGTCGGATTTTTTTTTAGGGACCAGAGCAAATTTTTTTTATCCGATTCCAACTTCAAAAATGTTATTTATTTTTTTTAAAATTAATTTTGTTTCTGAACTTTTTTTAAATTGTTTTTTAGCGGATAAATAAAGCGATAAGCAATCATCTTTTCATTTTTTGTACTGAAAATAAATGCTAATAATGTGAATAAAATCACATTTTTGTTCAGTACATCTGAAAATAAAACATCTTAAAACATAATGCATCTTTAAACGTAAAATTATAGTAATTTTATTAAGAAAAACAATTACATTTACTGATTTCAAGTGTTTGTTTAAAGTATTTTTTATTTAGTGATATTAAGGTGAAATTATGATGCAAAAATAAAATTTTTTTTCAGTGTGTTTTAAAACTTAAAAATGAAGTAATTTTACTATATAGTTATTTCCATAAATTTATTGTTAAATCTAACTCAATTGTTAAGAGACAAACTAGACATACCCCTGAATTTTATGTTCAACTGTAAGAACTGATCTGCTCTCTAATTCTTTATTTATTTATGGTATTAAATTATGTCCTTCTAATCTTCTAATATAAAATTATTGTCTAGCATAATTAAGTTTAAGAAATCAATAATTATACTGTTAAATTTTAAATATTTTTCTGCTGTTTAATTAAATATATAAAACTAAAGTTTATGTTAAATATCATTTATATTTCATCAATATGTTTTCATGACACTTTGGTTTTTATATTATGAACATTAAAATTATATTTTAATTGATTAGAACTTTAATTTTTGAGATTTTCATGTTAAAGTAAATTGAACAATTTCAGTTTTGCAACATCTCTTTTTGCTAATTATGTTATATAGTGTTTTGTTTATTTCTGGTCATATTACGTTATGTTATTTTCTTTTGTAGGTTGCCATACAAGCATTGCTTCAGGTCTCCATTAATAAAAATTGTTAAAAAAAAAACAATTATATCGACTGATTTTAAATGTTATTTTAAGTATTTTTTATTTAGTAGTGATAATAGAGTGAACGACGCAAAAGTTAACTAATTTTTCTATAATTCGGAATCCGAAGTCTGAAATTTTTATCCGAAGTCGGATTTTTGAAGGGCTGGAGTCGGAATCGGATTTTTTTTAGTGGCCGAAGTCAGATATTTTTTATCCAACTCCGACACACACGCAGCTGCAAAACGTCACATCCACGTTTTCCTTAATTAAAAATTGTTATTATAACTACTCTAAATTTTTTACTATTTTTTAAAAAATAGAGATATTCATTTTTAGATAAATCATTTGTATTTTGTTCTTGTGAGCCATTTTATCACAAAATCTTTTTTTATACTTCTATAGCTAAAAATTTTGATAATTTACTTAATTTCAAAACACTGTATGTAACTTTATAAGGATACTGTTGTAACTCCTTGACTTTGTAACTACCAACACCGATGTTATAACTTCAATAATTATTGAGATTAATCTCTGTATTTCCAACACCGTATTGTGGCATCCAAAGATAGTCACGAGTTCGTTTATCCGTAAGTTCAAGATTTCCGATAGATGAAAACGACTGCTTCAAACGCAAACTTTGTTGAACGTTTATTTGAATACCAACAGTAATAGAAACAATAAATTAATCCAAATAACTACATAAATCACATTTACGGCATCGCTTTCTTTTCGCTTGTTATCTCAACTAGAAACCTCCACTGACTAAGCCTCACTGGTAGGTCGCATTTGTAGCCTATTTTACAACTATAGATACAATAATTCTTTATACTCTATGGTTTACAACCCAGAGATTACAAATATAGCGTAATAAATAATATAGAACTATTAGATCGTTCCCGCGGTTATATCAATACTTTTAATGTCATAACATGTTAATAAAAATTGTCATAGAGTTGATTAAGTTAATTATTACATTATACTAACTTCCAATGTCATTCTGATTCAGTAATATATATAACAATGTTTAACATGAATGAATATAAAAAAAAAACAATTTCATTTAATATTATCTAACTAATAAAAGATTGTTGGCTATGAATGTCCTCAAAGACATTGATGACTTCAACAAAGATCCAGCACATCCAATGGATCTAATCATCATCAGTTTCTTAGTACTTGGGGCCAATTTATTTTCAGTCAGAATGTCGCGTCTGTCTTCTATGTGATGCTTCACAACAGCGCGATCAATTCTAATAGTATCATCCAACAACAACTTCCTTCTTTTAGTTTCTTTTTTAATTTCTACAAAACAAACACTTGAAATTTTATTATTTGTTATTAATAAAAATGTTGACAAGGTTTCCGTTAGATCTTTTAAATCATGCAGTGTCAACAAAAAATGAAAGTGAAAAATTAAAATTTCAGTTCCCACAAAATCTCAATAAAAGAACTACTAAGAGTTTTAGAAAAGAATAAATGTTTGTCTTGTACTGCAGAAAAAAACGCAAAAAAAATTATAAAACCAATAAAATGTTTTTGGAACAGTTCAAACAATCCATTATAGAGCAATTGTTCTACAAATGTGAAAACAAAACCAGAGGTGTAAATACAAAATAAATGGGGAAGAGGCAACTTAGAACGTGAATGCAAAGCTAAATAATAGGGAAAATAAAATATGTTCAGAGATGAAGTACGGTGAATCAGAGTAACTTGGAAAAATATCAAGGAATGACAAATAATATTTAGTATGTTTAGTACTTAAGAACTCTCAAATTTTGTTGAATAGAATTCACACTGCAAATGTTTGAAATTGAAAAAATTGAAAAATAATTAAAAAATTTTAATATATCCATGAAACTAAAATAATAATAATGTCATTTTATATAGCGCCATGGCAAGCGACTGAGGCACATGCATTATCATTATTACAACAAACACACGGTGCATAAATACACGTAAATCAACGCATCACACACTTTTGCATGTGATAGGCGGGGATCTTTTTGCACTCGAACCCGGACACTGCACCCACAATGCCGGGCACCTTAGCCATTACACCATCACGCCACCCAAATCAAACATACAAATCAGCTAGACTAAGTTGTTTAGAGGAAACTAATAAAGCTTACTACTTCATTGCAAAAGTAAGCAATTTATTATTATAGCTAGAAACAACTAAACATTAAATTTACGTTTTGA